TAACCCGGTAAAGCATTTCAAATATAAGTTTAAAGTGGAAAGAGCAACGAGTTTGTGCCTGTTTGCCGAACATTTTTCTTCAATACACTTGGGTATTCCGAAGATTGTGGATATGTTACCTCCGTTTCACTTATGACCAGGATGTTCAAATTAACTACATTATTTTTTTTTTGTTTCTACAGCAATACCGTTTATCGATGTCTTGTCGACGACGAAGATGGTGGACCGAGAGTTTCAAAAAGAGGAACATATACTCGAGATTCCACCAAGCGAGATACTGTCATTGCGCATATCCAATCATACAACCCAACGATATCCCACTACCGGCGCGAACATGCGCCGAACCGTTTATATCTACCGTCAGATTTAACCGAAAAAGCAATGCATCAGGATTATCAAGACACACATGATTTGAACGTTAGCTATTCTGTGTATTCTAGACAAATCAAAAAGATGAATATTTCTTTGGTGAAGCTTGGGCATGGGCAGTGCGAAACCTGCGTTGCAGCAGATCAACACTTCAAGGATTCTGACCATACAATCGAGGACGGCTCTGTAAATGATGATTGCTCTATATGCTTTAAGTATTCGGAACATAAACGCTTGGCTAAGTTATCCCGCATCGCTTACAAATGTGACGGAGATGAGACAGAACCTGGACATGTCGTACTGGCTGTTGACCTCCAGAAGGTTACAAAAATAAAGCAATAGTTGATGATTACTCTAAGAATTACTTCTAAGTACTTTTCTGCTTTCAGGTTATTCAGCTTCCGCGTCTGGAAGGCTTGAAGAGTGTTGTATTCTCCCAACGACTTCTTGCTTTTAATGAGACGTTTGTGCCTGTTGGGAAGTACACTCAGAATTGCCCAGTGTTCGCTTGCCTATGGGACGAGTCGATTAGTGGTCCGTCCGCAAACGACATAACAAGTTGCTTTCACCGTATAATTATAAGACTTGGATCCTACGATACAGTTATTATGTCGCTAGACAACTGCTCTGGACAAAACAAGAATTGGAACCAATTCCTTCATCTAATTCTTTTGATGTATTTAAATTCGATTCAGATTAAGGAATTGGTTCTCAAATACTTCGAGTCCGGAAATACGTTTATGTCCGCCGACAGTTTCCATGCGGCGGTGGAAAAAGGAATGCGGAATCATATTGGTGATCCAATAATAACTTTTCCAGACTTCAAGGAGGTTGTAGGCAAAGCGAAGAAGAACGTGGAAGTTCTTGAAATGTCGTTTAAAGACTTCTTCCAGACTACATTGATTGCTTCGCAGTATACGCTGAACAAACTTCTACCGAGACCGTACATCGAGAATATTCGAAAAGTGGTTCCCCGCAAGCACAGCTATCAATTCGGGTATAGCAATTCAATCGAGGAAGGAAGTGATCTGACGTACTGCTTTTTATTTTCAAAAAAGCAAATGAAGACGGTCACAGATGATGCTTTTGAGTTGGATAGCAGCCTGAACCGTTTGAAGGCTCCCCGCGGGATTGACGTGGATCGAAAGAACGCCCTTCTTAGTAACGTTTTGCCGGTCATTGGAGAGGCCAAAAAACAATTTTGGACGGAACTTCCACTGCAAGAAAGCAAAAATGAAACAAAGCTTTGATTTTTGATATAATTATGCACTTGATGGTTGATTTTTTTAAATGAATTATTGAATTACATTTCCATTAACTTGCTTGTTTTTTTTTTATCATTATTTTGAATAAAACAATCCACCTGAGTATAAACCAATACTTATTTACCTCTTTTTTTTCAAACAGATATGCAGATGGGACTGTTATGTCGCAATTTATACGATGGGACAAAATGACTTGACATTTTTTTCAGGTTTTGCCGAACAAACCCTCCAATGTAATTTATTTTTCTTAAATTTTACGATAAATCGTGACGATTTCAGCAATAAAGTAAAATCGATAAAAAGTCTAATGGGACAATTATGCCACACACGGCAGTATACAGCTCTTACAAATAGTTCGTTATTTTTAATAAATACAGAATTAAAATTTTCATAGTGTTTTTTCTTAAATATTCTTCCTGGACGAAATAATTCATATGTAAAGCATTCATGGGGCATTCATTCGTTTACAATGTCATCATCTGAGTAACCGTTACCATGTTTCCTTCATAGGCACGTTTACTTAAATTTGAGTAAAAGCATGTTTACTCATTTTTGGGTAACTTCCCCTTTGGCTCACCCTCTCCAAAGGGGTAGTTTGGTAAAGAGAGATGATAAAACCGATTTGTACCTTCCTAAAGTTGTCCTTGCTCGCTTTCTACTCTCTATATGCAAATTTCACACACACATGATAGTACTCTAAACGGAACTATCAATTCTATACTTTCATCTCCTCATCGATCGTATAAAAATTATCACTTTAGTCTGTGTAAATCGTTGAATTCACGCCGAAATAATAGTCAAAGGCATATAGTCAAAGTATTATATTATTATTATCTGTAGAAGAGAATAACATTAATTTTTGATTCTAATAAAAAGAAAATTAATGTTTTATTGCTGATTGCATCTGAAACTGGACTGCCCCAAAAATGCAAAAAGTGTCATAAAAGTGCACGTTTCCGTCAAATCGTTTTGATGTCTTGGGAACACTTATTGCTTGCATCATAAGGAATAAGTGCACCCAAGACACCAAGACGATTAGACGTAAACTTTCAGTTTTACCACACTTTTTAATAAGTGAAAACGCGCTTATTAGTCCAATTTGGTTTGAAACGCGCAATAATGTTTTGCATTTTAGCTAGTAGGCACACAAGTTGGATAATGGTCAATGAATAATATGCCTTACAATCCTTTACTGAAAATTTATTGCACACTAAACCAATTATTCAATTTTGTGTGTTCAGCTATGTAAGCATATGAGTAATTCTCGCTGAAACCAGTGCACTTTTGGCACGATGTCCACCCCATTCATTTGTCGTGTTCAAAAATGATTACGGCCATATTGAATTTGGCCGCCATATTGGATTTAATCTAAAAAATGCGTTTTCAAAGCTGAGAATTTTTTCTATATAGATATAGTTCAAATGTTGATGGAGCAATTCATTTATTGTTTAATGCAAGTAGAAGAAAATATAAAAGTGGTTTTATAAATAACATATGAGCCCTAATGAGCTATTGATTTAAATCACTGTATTTTTGAAAATTGAAAGTGAAAAGGGGAAAGTTTGGGCTTTCAATTAGCATAACCAAAATGTTTAGCAGCCATATTGGATTTTTTTTTCTTCATTGGGTATCAAGCTGGAGCTGCGTGACAGCTTAGTTTTCAAGACTTGAACCATTTGAAAAAAAAATTGCTTCTATCTTTGACAATACAGCAGAAGGACTAGCCTATGTTGGTAGCTTGAACACTGGATTCCGTGTGTATTGTTTCAAGATAGTTATGGAAAAAATGCTGTGACGTGTGCGCGTAGGTACATCCGCGTAGTAAACCGATTGAATAAGTAAATCCGTTTCGAGCGAAATAACTAAATTATGTAAGTTACGAAAACCGCGCGAATTCCGAAAGCCGTGCGAGACAACCGAAGCAAGAAAAAGTGCCACCAAAATAAATGTGATAGCCTATGTTGGCAAGTTGATTAATTTTGGCTTCCTCCCTAGATATTCTACTTATTTTACTATTGAGCTTTGTTTCAATTTAGTTATTTTGCCGCACGTATCAATCATTTCAAAATTTCGCGACCGTGCCGAACAAATTCAAACTACATAAGCTCAAAACACTTTTGGCAAGCTCTACCGAATTGCGAATCACTTCTGTGTAAGCTCCGTAGACGTAGGCGCGTTGAATCCGACAGCCGCGAAAAGTTAAACATGTATGATACTGTAATGACCCGATTTTGTCAGCCCGTTTGTTATTAATCTTTGATAATGTTCTACGAAACCCATGCAACAGTGGTCTTGTTGCAGCACAGTATACCTTAAACATCCATCTTGAAGATAAATGATAATGATTTGAAATTACGGTTATGTGAAATTATTGAAAGTTAAAAATCTGATTCGGGACTAACAAAATCGGGTCATTACTGTATCATTTTCCAGCACTAATATGATGATAAGCTGCAGGCATCAGCTAGAACATCTTGAGCGTCTTAACCAGTTTTATACCTGATTTAACACAGGGGACTATTGGACAGAATCTGACCTGACGAACGAATTGCCCAAAGTAAGGAATTTTATAAACAATAACAAGTGACAATTTTTGAAATGTAAACTTGCTGATTGGACCAAAACGGATAACAGTCACACTTTTTTTTTCCTTTGGTTTGTTTTCCGTCGATCTTGTTTTCCGTGCTACCGACGCCAGGAAGGCAGCTCCCACACCTGGACCCTACCTATCGACCCATCAACTCATGAACCGGGGACCAACGGCTTTACTTCCCATCCGAAGGAAGGCGTGATCAGAGATGTTATGCCTCAGAACATCCGGCGCCGCCGACTGGGATTGAACCCAGGCCTGCTGGGGTGAGAGGTAATCACGCTTACCACTACACCACCGGCAACAAACCTCAATAACTCATGTTTATGACCGTTAGAATTTTTACAGAATAAATTTGCAAGATCATGCTAACGATTAGCACGCATTCAAGCCGTTTCAAATCAAATACATATGATCATAGTCCCAGAGAGAATTATGCTAAAAAAAAAACCTTCAAGAATAATCGTTCCTGCATTCACCCCACGCTGCAAGGCCAAGCAATTGTCTTTCAATTAGTGATTGAGTTGCTACCCTATCTGTTCCAGCCAACATTCGACATTTAACGCTTCGAAACCCGGAAGAGATAAATCAAATCACCTAGCAAAACTAGCAAAGTTAAATCTTAATCTCAGCATGCCCCCTTCCTAAAACAGAAACATTTTAATTACCCAAAACCCCAGGAACGATGCGATTCCGATTCCGCCGCCGCCTTTGTACGGCACACTGCTCTCTGATGATGATATATAACGTTTTCCCAAAACTCAATTTCAACCTACCTCGGTTCATTGTGTCTCCTCATGAAATATTCATTCACCTCCAGCCCATCCAACTCGTAGAACCGGGGCTTCCGAATATTCCCAAAAATTCCGGCCCCACCAACGCCGTCGCCTTTTCCGCCATTGATAACCACGGTCAGATCGCCGCTTCCACCGTTGCAGATAAACTCTCCCCCGCTGCCATCGATGTCCTGCTTCCTACGCTTCGGAGGACAAATGAAGTCTCGCTCGGACAGTGTGTCTTGATCTAAAAATGGCAAAATGAGTTATTTACAACATGATCCGTGAAGTTTTTACCATAATTACCCGAAGGCGTATCGACTCGTATCACCGAACCGGTATCGGACCCGGCAGAACTCCACACCTGATCGAATTGGGACCATCCCTGCTGCTGTTGTTGCTGCTGCTGCTGCTGTTGCTCGTTTTGCTCGTGATGATCTTCCAGTGAGTTGAATTTCGATTCCCCTCGGCCATCGTCATCGTCGGAAGTTTCCTCCACGATGGTCTCCAGCATCCGACTCGAACCGGTGGTCGACAGCGGGCTCGATTCGGCGGTTGCCTCGGCATAGGCCGGCAACCAGGGGAACGAAATGTCATCCGCTACGTCGAAGATGTTTTGCTCCATAGCGCACCTTCCTTCGCCTTCTTGGGGTGGGCTCAGCTACATTTTACCACTGTTGGAAATGGGAGAAGAAGGGGGAACATACCATTAGAAGCAGAAGGTGGTTTAAGGTGAGATCATCTCCGCAATCGAGTTGGTTAAAATGTCACGCCGGAGGGAGTGCAGTACCGTAAAAGTACATTCAACGGGTTAAGTGGTACAAAGCGAAAGCTTTCATCCAGTCGAGTTCGTGATCAAGATGATCTCGATATCGGGGGGCCTCCTCTCCATAAAATGCCGTTGGCGGGCATATTTGTCGCGTCGTAAGAGAGTTTGTGCATTTATTCGCGCGCAAATTCATTCAGCAAAAATGGCGATGACGTGATGACACAGTTTCACGCTTTGATTCATGCAATAAACGACAACGGAACGGATTGCGCAGACAGTGCTGTGTGTTGCTGACTGTGTTTGTGTGCTGGGGAAGTTTGTTTACCGAGCTCGTGTTCTTTTGAGTTGGCAAATAACTTGTTGGTTTTAATGGGGACTTTAAAAACACTTTGAATCAGGTTTTGGGTGGCAAAATAATTGATTTGGAGGACCATTTGGTTTTGATGGTTTCTAGCGTAATCCGTTTCTATCAAGAAGATTTTTCTATTTTTAAATGCAAAAAAACACATGTTTGTGAGAATGGCTGGAATAACCTTTGAAGATCTATTGGCTTCGCAATTAAATTTGATTAAAGTGCTGTTAATTTTTTACAGACCTGCATTAGGAGTTCTGTAGACCTTTATCGAACTTTCATAAAGTTCATTTACAAGATTAATTGACTTTTATTTGAAGATCTGAAGACAATCCTGTAATCATTCATTGATAGTTCTGTGGGCAGCCCTAGATTTTCTGTGATCCTATATTAGATATCCAAAGGACTTCCCAAAGAACGTCCATTAGAAGTCCCGTAGATTTCCCTAGAAGTCGTATGGAGTTTATATGATATCATGTATTCATTCCTAGAAGCTCTATTAACTTTCTTCAAACCAAGCCTAGTAGACTTTCTTCGTGTTAACTTTCTTAGAAGCATGGGCTGCTGTATTTCAAAATTCCATAGAGCCGCACTCCGTGTTCTTACTCGAGTGCGCGCTTTATGATCCCCCCTTTATACGTCTTGTGGACTTTAGAAGTGCCGCGGACTACTCTTTAGAAATTCTGTTGTTTTTCTGCTGAAGTCCAACACTACACTTTATCGTCATTTTTAAGTTGGCTCGATTAGCCTTTCGTTACTCGCGCCAACTGTTGTAACACGAGTACTCGCGCGTTGTACTTTGTACAACAGTACGACTTTTCCATTGCCATTTTGCTGCCGAAATACCAATTGATCTTAAACCAACGTTTATTTCTCAAACACCTTGTTTTGAACTAAACAAGCTAAACTTTGATTACAGTAAACCCCCCAAAATGTGGATAATTGGGAAAATGTTAATGGAAACAGCATAAACGGTGTCCATACTACGTGCGATTTGACTTAATTGGTTACAACATGGAATATCTGGTGATCCTGACCAGATAGAAAGTTACTATTTTGGGAAAAGTTGTTCAGAAGATCATAACCTTTTCACTGGTGGACAGTAGTGCAGAATTTGCTCACTACGTAGCGCTAGCATACATGTGGTGAATTTTGTTACAAACAAAGAACAATGAATTATCGGCTCCGTAAATCTAACGCGACTGAGCCTTGTAACGAGCTAGATAAAAAAGAGCATACATGTTAAATTCTCGCATGAGAAATGGCTCTAATGTTGGCCTATGGATCTAAGATTGGGTCCATCGCTAAAAATCTGCTATTTATCAGTTTAGGACAGTACTAGGGTAGATGTACCAATTATGGCTATACGTTCCTATTATGGTGTGTTCCAATTAAGGAAAATTTAGTCGATTTCTGAATTTATGTACGGGGCATCATTTAGGCCGACATCCACTTCCCCTATATCTCGAGATCCTGACCAGATAGAAAGTTACTGTCTTCGATAAAGTTGTTCAGGAGGTCAATGTCTATTGATTGGTGCGCAATAAAGGGTGTCCACGATGAAATTGCCACACACAAAATTGATTCGCAAAATTCGAGTTTTCATCCGATTGCCATCAAATTTTCAGGAATTGAGAAATAACTATTAAACTTCATTTTACCATTTTACTCGTATTTTATTTACAGTCCATACGCAAATGCCCGCACCTTGGCCTTAACCCCGGCCATAAGATTCTGCACAACCTGTGAATCAACCGTTTTTTGCATGTAAACCCATACTTTCTTCAGTTCCTCGACTGTCTTCACTACCTTAGGTCGTTTAAGAAGGTGCTGCTTCATAATCGCCCAGTACTTCTCGATGGGGCGGAGCTCGGGAGTGTTGGGAGGGTTGAACATTTTCGGCACGAAATTGACCTTATTGTCCGCATACCACTTCAGCACGTCCTTGGAGTAGTGGCATGAGGCCAAATCCGGCCAGAAGATTGTTGGGACGTTGTGGGCCTTCAGGAGAGGAAGCAGCCGCTTCTGGAGGCACTCTTTTATGTACACCTGTCCGTTCATCGTGTCCTGGGTCACGAAAGGTGCACTCCGCTTCCCGCACGTGCAGATGGCTTGCCAAACCAGGAATTTCTTCGCAAATTTGGACATCTTCTGAGTGCGGACATGCTCCGGAACGCTGAACTTATCCTTGGCCGTGAAAAACAGGTTGCCGGGGATCTGTTTGAAGTCGGCCTTCACATATGTTTCGTCGTCCATGATGCAGCATTCAACTTTCGTCAGCATGTTGAGGTACAACTTCCTGGCACGGGTTTTGGCGGACTTGTTCTGCTTCTCGTCGCGATTAGGGGCCTTTTGTACCTTGAACGTTCGAAGCCCAGCCTTAGTTTTGGCCTTCTGGACAAAACTTCGGCTTAGGTGCAGCTTCTTAGCCACATCCCTAACGGAGGCGTTCGGATTTCGGTTGAAGGCCCCAACTACGCGGTTGTGATTTTTGGTGTTGTACGGAATACTTTTTCCTTCACTTCTGGGCTTCCGATCGGTGGTCAACCGTTCCTCGAACCGCTTAATCACTCGCGACACCGTGGAATTCGCGATTCCCAACGTTTTAGCGATGGAACGATGCGAGAGATCCTTGTTCTCGTGATGAATGCGCAAGATTTTATCACGCACGAGCTGTTCTTTCGACTCCATTTCCGCGAGTTTTGATCACAGGACTTTAAAACTTGCAGGATGTAAATAATGCACTATGAACTAAATCCACCCAAATTTTCATTAAATTCTACCCAACGGTTAAAAAGTTAGAGCAATTTCATAGTGTGGCAATTTCATCGTGGACACACTTTAGTTCAGAATTTTCTCACTACGTGGTGCTAGTTTGCACGTGTAATTCTCGCATATATAATATCTCTAGATCCTGACCAGCTTGAAAGTTACTGTATTCGGCAAAGCTGTTAAGGTGATGAAGACCTTTTGACTCATGAACAGTAGTTCAGAAATAAATCAATACGTGGCACGCATTTCTCGTATATAAAATATCGCGAGATCCTGACCAGCTAGAAAGTTACTGTATTTGGCAAAAAATAAATAACATCTAACGAAAAAAAAAATTATGTTGGGGAAATGGATGTAATGTCGGCCTAAATGCCCCTAATTTGGGCCCATACATAAATTCAGCAATCGACTAAATTTTCAAAAGCAACCAAAAATATCTATTAGTACCGTCCCAATGACGCGTTCATCTAGATAAAATTGATAAATAGCGGATTTTTAGCGATGGGCCCAATCTTAGGCAATCTATAGGTCAACATTAGAGCCATTTCTCCTATCTTATGAATTAAATAATGAAAAAATATGCTTAGAAAGTTTAAAAATAAGATTCGGAATTTCAATTTTAAATTGGGCATTTTTTGCTCCCCTTCAATATTAAAGGGTGATACGGTCAAAATTTGGTCAAGGGAAAACGCGTGTAAATCGGTGAAATCGTTTATTTAAAAAATCAAATTAAATTTCTTTTTCAAGTTCAATTAGTATAAAATTCAGGAAAAATATTCAGTTAGGCTTCCGCTTTTCCAAATCCGAATTGCCGGGCCTTACGCTTGACCCCTGCCATCAGATTTTGTACAGCCACCTTGTCCACCTTCTTTGCCGCAGAAAGCCAGTTTGCCTTTAACTGCTGCTCGCCCTTAGCAGTTTTTTGGTCTTCTTTAGGTTCCGCTTGACAATAGCCCAGTATTTCTCAATTGGGCGGAGCTCTGGCGTGTTGGGAGGGTTCTTGTCTTTGGGAACCACCTGCACGTTGTTGGCGGCGTACCACTCCATGGCCTTTTTACCGTAATGGCAAGATGCCAAATCCGGCCAAAACAGTACGGAACAACCGTGTTTCTTCAGGAAAGGCAGGAGACGTTCATTCAAACACTCTTTCACGTAAATTTCTTAATTGACAGTCCCGGAAGCTATGAAAATGCTGCTTTTCAAGCCACAGGTACAGATGGCTTGCCAAACCAGATATTTCTTTGCGAACTTTGACAGTTTCATGTGCTTGAAAACATCTGCTACCTTTCCCCTTCCTTTTGCCGTATAAAACTCCTGTCCCGGAAGCTGCTTGTAGTCGGCTTTGACGTAGGTTTCGTCGTCCATTACCACGCAGTCAAACTTCGTCAGCATCGTCATGTACAGCCTCCGGGATCGCGTTTTGGCCGTCGTATTTTGTTTATCATCGCGATTTGGAGTCACTACCTTCTTGTAAGTCGATAGTCCGGCTCGTTTTTTGGCTCGATGCACGGTTGTAGACGATACACCCAGCTTATTTGCGGCATCTCGGAGAGAGAGGTTAGGGTTTCGCTTGAAACTACCGGCAACTCTCTTTGTCGTCTCAGCGGCTTCCGGTTTTCGATTTCCCCCCGATCCAGACTTCCTGGCTGTCGACAAACGTTCCCCAAACACTTTAATTACATTTGTAACGGTTGATTTGGCAACTTTTAGCGATTTTGCCAACTTTGCGTGCGAGTAGCTCGGATTTTCGCGATGCGCGAGCAAAATTTTGATACGCTGCT